GCAATGACTTCTTCCATTGAACGCGCATTGTCGGAAATTCTAAAATAAATTCAGGATAAATGCGAGCATCAGGATTAGAATTTTGGTGGAATGAGGACACCACTGTTCACCTAACCATCCAACGATAGGTTGGTTCGCGGACACTGGATTGTTTGGTGCGTGTAGCATTCGTGTAGATGGCGACCCGAAAGTGAGAGCATCTACAGCTAGACTTGCAAATCCGACCGATCAAGCCTCTAATCTCATTCTCACAATCGAACACCTTAATTAGCATACCTCAAAACCATACAAACCCATGCAACTACGTAACAATGCATTACACACATTGTCCGACTACTACATCACAACATGCCATCGGACTACCAAAATTTGGCATGTTTGGCAATGGTGGACAAGATCATCCATGGCTGCCCTTGCCTTTCCCGGCGCCATTGTCGTCCTTCTCGCGGAAGTACCGGTCAAAGGCGTGGTAGGGATCGAGCCGGATCTGCTCATCGCCGGAGCTGCTTGACCTGCCGTTGTCCTCCTTCTCCTTCTTGGGTGACAGTCCGGCCATGGCACAGACCATCCAATTCTGCTCTGGAGCGAGGGCACATGGTTCCTCTGATGTCGCTTCTTTACAGCGTGGGCACGTCCTTCGAATCCATCCTTGCTAATATGTTCGGCACTTCACTGAGTGCTTGCCTGCCTTCCTCTTTGTAGTCCTCCAAATCAATACTCTTTGCGACACATCTCGAATAAACTCTTTCCTTAGAAAAATGTGAATCAAACGCAATAAACCAAACATACACTGCCGTTCAACCTAGTAAAATGTTGTTCATTGAATATGAATGTTTCGAGCGGCCCAACCATTTTCCACATTGTCAAGGCTCACCTTAGGCATGGTCGGTCCTCTCAGGTGAGAGGCACCGCGACGAAATGCAAAACAATGAACCTATGATTATACTATAATATTTTTTCCAACCTACATATGTATACTACAAAAATTCATGCACCCATTTTCCACATCGTCAAGGCTCACCAGGGCTAGCGGCGGTCCCCTTATGCAAGAGGAACCAAGGCAAAAATAACTCTACAAGTATACTACAATCTATATCTTTCACTTGTATAGTCAAAAAATCCATTTTCTATTCTTACGCCAAATACCCAGGTTTGTTGTTAAATTTCAGTGCTAAGCGTGAGGTTAAGACCTCCCATAGTGAAAATATAATGACAAGTATCATGCAACCTATCAGGCCCTCCAACCCATGCAATGCCAACTAGTCATATTGCCACTTGTCATGGTATTAAGTGAGGAAAGAGGAAGTATTGGTATCACCGCATGATGATGTATCATATTAATTCTCTACTATCAGAGGATTGATGGTTGTTGCGAACCAACATGTGGTTTGATAGTTACGAGGACAGTGATATTCCCAACCCACCAGGGTTCAAGTCTCGGACTTGACATTGGTGATCGCATTTCCCTGTATTTATTCCAGGTCTCCCGGTGATATGCGTTTAGTGGTAGGAGACGTTTTTATCGACTACCAAGGCGCCTCAATCTCAAGATGATGTGCTGAGTCAGTCTCTCGAAGGTGCTCACAGGGGTAGGATATGCGCGTGTGTGTGTTCATAAGGGCGAGTGTATAAGCGTATGCGTTCATACTGTGTTTAAAAGAAATGCTGGTCATTCTACTTTTGTCTTCCCCTCTGCCCCTCCCCATGCTCCCCTTCATGTCATGCATCAACTCAATCAAATTAAATCTAGTCTAATCAAAACCTCAGCTAAAAAAAACATGTCTTTCTCTATCCATACCCAAATCAAATCAAATCTTACCAAACCTCACATAAATCAAAACTTTTATTGTCTTTCCCTACCCATACTCCAATCAAATTTTATCAAAATCTACAAGATGGTGGGCGTAAGATTTATGTCAGCCTCGATTGGCATTGACCCAATAGAATATGCAATGTCCCGTCGCAACGCATGTGCAATTAGTTTGTAATGTATTAATATGAGTCATCTAAAATAATAAATGATGTCATCTAAGATAGTACTGTACTAACTTATGATACTATGCACTATGAAAATAATATGATGCTAGGAGGACGGAAACTTGGTGCTCTCGGGTTCTAGCGCATCCTATATGCGCCAAAAAATTTAATAATTCAAAAAAGGTTCAAAAAATTATAAATCTTTTTTGGAATCAAACATGATTACGTATTCTACTCGTATAAAAAGTTTGGATAAGAAATGATTCATTTTGACTTCAGCACAAAAAAGAAAAGTTTATGACGACAATATAGCCTGCACCGGTACCCAGGTTCTTCTTTGTATTTTCCCATGTTAGGATTACTAACTTACGATACTACCCACTTGGCGCATCGCAGGCGAGGTCATTGGGGGCGGATCAGATCCTAGGTCCAGATCATAGGACCACAACGTACAATTACGCCTTAAACATCGTCATAGATCGTGTGATGTGCACCCCTAATTAAGCAAATGTTCTTTTCGGGTGGATTCTTAAAATGAAACTGTACGAACCGTAACCCTAATCCCAGGTACATTGAATGGCTGTCGAATTTGTAGTCCGCCCTGCAGGGAATAGATTCACCACCCACCGCAGCGCCCAAATACTCCTACAATAGTGCGTGCACCAGGCCAGGGTGGTTCACCGCAAAAACAATAAGCGCCCGCCTGACCGCCTTTATTTTCCCGTCCAGGAAAGGGTCAGCCAATGGACGCCGGGCCGGGGATAAATCCTCTTTTTCCCCCAACGGAAATTTTTGCCGTTTGTTGCCCAGCCCAGGATCTCCATAAAACGGCAGCTCCTCCACCGACCCGAGCGCCCCGCCCCACCCCACTAGGCCACTATCAGCACACAAAATTTCCTTTCCTTTTTCCTCTTGTTGCCTTGCCCCGGTGCCTCCCCACCGGCCACTGGTGAGTGGTGACGGCGTCGCGGCAACGCCGTCAGCCAGCCAGGGACCGAAAAGGAAAGCCAAAGTGGAGGAGGAGGGGAAGGAGGGCGAGGTCGGGTGGGTGGGCGAGGAGGGAGCAGCAGCCAGCTACGGCCGAACCCTACACCGCAGCGACCTCACCGCGCTTGCCATTTTTGGTCAGTCTCCCCTTGCCGTCCTGGCCAGATCCCCTTCCTCCTCGCGTGGGTGGGCTGGGGTTTTCCACTTTTCGCCCTCTCCTCGCCGCCCCAATTGGGATAACAGTACCCACCTTTCAATTTAATCATCTCCCCCTCTCCTCCTCTTGTGTTCGTTCCGCAGGCCGGCTGATCGGAGGAGGGAGATTTTTCTGGTTTGGTTGGGTTTTCGATCGGATTTGTGGTGGGAGGAGAGGAGAGAAGAGAAGAGGAGCGAAAATGGTGCGGGGGAAGACGCAGATGAAGCGGATAGAGAACCCGACGAGCCGGCAGGTGACCTTCTCCAAGCGCCGCGGCGGCCTGCTGAAGAAGGCCTTCGAGCTCTCCGTCCTCTGCGACGCCGAGGTCGCCCTCGTCGTCTTCTCCCCCCGCGGCAGGCTCTACGAATTCGCCAGCTCCAGGTAACCCGCTCCCGCTCCCCCTCCCGATTACGCGACTAGTTAATTCGCCTTGTCTTTGTTTACTATAATTGCTGCTTGTTTCCTGGTTGGGGCCGGAATGCGCGTGGGAAGCCCACTAGTTTACTCTCTCGCTGCGAGAAATCCGACGGATCTTCGCGTGCCCCCCTGCGCCAACTCCTGTAGCGGCGCAGGCGCACGCAGCTCGCCGGCCACTGCCCAATGGGGGGCGGAAGCCCCTCTGCTCCAGTAGTCTCCTCCGCCCGTGATGCGCCGTTCCCATCCATCCACTTGGCCCATGGCTCCAAGTTTCCCCACTCCTCCTGCATATCGCTGCGAGAATCTTGCCTCGGTTGCAGCGAGCGCGATTTTTATAAACTGATAAATTCCTGTTCCGTACGTCCTGCTATCGCTGCGAATTGGGCTAAACTTTAAAGTGCCTTCAGGATGGAAGGACGATTAGCACATGTAGCCCACTCAATGCCCTATTGCCTATTGGCCTAATTTTTTATCAATATGGACGTACTAACCAATAGAAGAATTTGGGATGAAAGGGAGTAGTACTACTATGGGCCAGGCTAGAATTACCGGACGCTATACATGCTTTGTCTAGACATCGGTTCTGTTGCTGCTAGAGCTAATTTTCTGTTCAGAAACGAAACCGGTGCATGCGATATGGTGTACTTGAACTGTATGGCGAGTACTTTTTTCTACTCATGGTCAGTTACTCAGTTTGCTGTGGAACTGGCGCACCAGCATTTATTTTTCCGTTGTTCACTCTAGTTTAAACAGTTTACACCATGGAGCAGAAGTTAAACAGAACATTTGCCCCCAAAATAAAACTAAAAATGAAACTCGACATCAACCAGTTACCCAGTGGCGCACGGCCGCCCAGCCTGCCACCCACGTTTTAGCCCTAGGCTCTGCAGTGCGTGTGTCTGGTGGTTTCCTTTTAATAAATTGACTGGTTTTGTTTTAAAAATTAAACAAAACAAAAATCAGCCTTTAATTTACTATGAATTGGAGTTGTGAGCAGATTCAGTTTTTTTCCTCCCCCAAACGTGTCATTTTGTATTAAAGTAGAAGAACACTGCAAAAAATGGCACAACAGCTTAAAGGGACTGAAAATGTTGTTTGGATTTTGGTGCAACAAATACAAATTAATTAAAGTTTTGGGGCAGTGAACTTGTCGTGAATATGTGCTTTTTTTGCGAGAAAAATGTGCTTCTTTGACATATAAGGTGTTAGTGTCGTATGCAGGAAACAATAGCTTCCTGTCATAAGCCGAGTCAAGACTAAACTTGCCAGGCTTCCACAATATGGTTTCTAATTAAATTATGCAGCTTTCTTAGATAAATTAACTCACAATTTTTTTATTAGCAGATATTTTATGGTTTTGTCCGTAGGTAACAGCCATACCAAAATCAAGGCAAACAATCACTATGATTGTAGGGCGTCCACTATTATTCAGATAAGGCAGATCATGGTCGTAGGGTGACAACTGAAAACTAAATTAGTCATGGGGCAGATTTTGCAGTCCCCAGCCGTAGGTCACAAAAGAACCAATTATGGGCTAATCTAGATAGTAGATTTATTCTTTTCATTTGAAGCACAATATGATCTCCCTATTTGGGCATGTTCTGAATTTTGTAAGTGTAGAAATATACAAATTTTCTGCCGGTGCTGATTGCATGCAATAACAAAAAAAAACTTTTGCTTTTGCGCATTGGAAATAGAGAGGTTGTTCCTTAAACTGGATCATGTTAGGAAATATGCTACTTGTATTTCCAAGTGTCCATGGGACAATATACATACATGTACATGTGTGGTAAATAAGCAGGAAAGCACTTATGCAATGGTGATATTACACGACAAATAGACACAATGAACACCCTGCCCCCTCAAACTCAGGGTGGATCCACACCAGTAGTTTCGAGAGATAAAAACTGTGTTGTTCTAGTCTGGGCCTTCGTAAAGACATTCGCCCAATGTAACATGGAAGGCACATACTGAAGAGCAATTACCAAATCCTACACACCACACTGCACGAAGAAAAGCATCAACACCAATATGCTCGATGAGCTCATGCTTCACAGGGTCGTGTGTAATACTGAAATCACATGTATTGTCTGACAACAGGGGGGCAGGTGTAGTAACAGAAAAAACATAATATAACCATTGAGAAAAACATGATAAGTAGGCCTGAAGTTGTAACAAACTTGAGCGGGGAAGAAAAGATGGTGATAATTGCTGCCACAAAGATATAGTAGAATGCGAATAATGGGAGTAAAGAACCGACTCAAAATATGGATATGATAGGAGATATCCGGATGAGTAACAGCTAGATAGACAAGTCTCCCAACAAAATGACGATAACATGTTGGATTAGACAGGGGTCACCATTAGAAGCAGAGGTGAACATTGAGCTCCATGGGATTCTCAACAATACACTCATCTGTAAGAGAATCAAGAGTGACGAGATCCTGAATATACTTTTCATGGGACAGGTAGAGCAAAACTCAATCCCAAGAAAGTAGTGAAGAGGGATCGAACATAATAAAGTGCTCCCTAAGACTAGCCATAATGGGTAGTAACATAGAGTAGTAACATGCCGATGTTACTACTCTATGTTACTACCTCTATAGTGGGGAGTAACATATGTGTAGTAACATGCAACACTTCATTTATTAGTCTATAGACTCATCTTGCCTTGATATGTGTGATGTTACTCATACTAGTAGTAACTAGCTATGTTACCACATGTCTCTCTTTCTTCATTTATTGCTTGCCACATCATCTATTTTATCTAGATATATGTGATGTTAATACCTATGTTATTTCCACTATGGGTAGTCTAAGACGTGTCTTCACAAAGGTAATGTACTCACGGTCATCACCAGTGATGATCATGTCATCAATATATAGAAGAGTCCGACCATGAGCAGAAAAGTGGACAAACATTATAGGATCATGAGCTGTCGTCAACAGAGTAGTTGTAGTCACCATCGAGGCGAAATTCAAACCAAGCACAAGGGGCTTGCTTAAGGCCACATTGAGAGCGAGGAAGATTGGATACCATGCCATCAGGAACATAATACCCATGCGGTGATTGTATGTAAACATCCTCACACAACTCACCATTAAGAAATTTGTTCTTAACATCACGCTAAGCTACAAACAAATGGCAAACAGAGGCCACAACAAGAAGTGTCTGGACAGTTGTCATATGGGCCACATGAGCAAAAGTCTCATCTTAATCACAACTATGCTCGTGCTAAAAGCCACAAGCCACAAGACGGACTTTGTAGCGCTCAAGAGAATTATCAGAGTTAGTCTTAACCTTGTAGACCCACTTACAAGTGATAGGGCACACATGGGGAGAAAGAGAAACAAGATTCCACGTGTTAGTGTGCTCAAGACAACAATCTCCTCTGCCATCGCAAGCTGCCATTCAGGATGAACATCATCATGATAAGAAGTTGGCTCAAGAACAACTACAACAGAAAAACCATAGGAGTCAATGGTAGGGCGAGACCAATCACAAAGACCATAAGTCGGCTGAGAAGATGTAGATGGCACACCAGTAGACTGATCCACTACACGTAGATGACAACTATAATAGTGAGGAAAAGAGGGAAAAAATTGTGGTGGGGCCACCAGAGTAGACTCGGGTGATGGAGACAGAGAATCCACCGGAGATGAAGGTGCAGAATCATGCGACAAGGAAGAAGAGGAAACCCTAGGAGATGGCGGTGTCGGATCTGCAATAGTGAAATGAGTAGGAGTAGGATGGTGGGGCAAAGTGAGGAACGAGATATCCTTCACCGAAAAGGTCGAGGAACATGGGTTTGGGTAAAAGAGAAGAAAATCATCAAAATTCACATCTTGAGAAATACGCATCCTATGATTGACCGGGTCCCAACAACGGTAGCCCTTATGGTCATAATTGTGTCCTAAGAAGACACATTCGACAGACTGAGCAGTCAATTCGGTGTGTTCATGGGGGCAAGAAGGCATAGCAAACATAACCAAACAAATGAAGCACCGAATAATCAGAAAAACAATAAAAAGGCACTTGAAAGGAATGCCACCCTGCAGAGCAACTGAGGGCTGAATGTTGATGAGATTGGTGGAAGCGGGAATGGCCTGAACCCAAAAGGAAGTGGAAGAGATATCCTCCACCGAAAAGGTCGAGGAACATGGGTTTGGGTAAAAGAGAAGAAAATCATCAAAATTCACATCTTGAGAAATACGCATCCTATGATTGACCGGGTCCCAACAACGGTAGCCCTTATGGTCATAATTGTGTCCTAAGAAGACACATTCGACAGACTGAGCAGTCAATTCGGTGTGTTCATGGGGGCAAGAAGGCATAGCAAACATAATCAAACAAACGAAGCACCGAATAATCAGAAAAACAATAAAAAAGGCACTTGAAAGGAATGCCACTCTGCAGAGCAACTGAGGGCTGAATGTTGATGAGATTGGTGGAAGCGGGAATGGCCTCAACCCAAAAGGAAGTGGAAGAGAGGCGCTATCATCTCACACAATCCTTCTCAAGAATAGGTGATGCTTGCGCTCATCCACACCATTCTGAGTGCGAGTACCAAGACAAGAGAACTAGGCAAGTGTACCATGCTTAGCGAGGACACCACACAACTCCAAGAGATATACTGTCCAATAAAGTCAACACTAAACACGCAAATAAGCATAGATAGTGTGGTCCATGGCAACAAAACACTTATACATAGAGAGAGAACCTCACTGCGAGAATACCTAAAATAAAACCAAGTGTAGCGAGAGAAATTATCTATAAAAATAATATTGTATTGTTGGCCCTCTTTCGAAGTGAATGGAGCCAGACCACATACATCTAAATTAACCAATTCAAAAGGGCACTGAGGCATTGACTCACTAGTATGAGAAGGTAACTGAATCCGTTTGCCAAGCCTACAACCCTGACACTCTAAAGAGACATCTCCTGAGATAGACCCAGAAGACTT